AAGATTAACATATGAAAATGACAAAAGCTATGATCATGGTATACCTCAAGCTCTAAAACTCCGAAAATGGCACACACAAGGGGTCCTCTACATAGCACCAAGACTCTGACTTTACCAAGGAACGAAAATGCCCAACAAGCTTGGATCTTTCATCATCAAAATGGTTCCTTGAAGCACTAAAATGGATGAAACTAGTCCCTCCCACACATAACCACCAAATCAGCAACACCACCCCACCAAAGATGCTATAACCCAGAAATGAAGCATCACACACCCTCACAAGACCAACTCACACATGGAAATGGTGTTTTGATGAAGGAACAACCAAGAAAATGGTCTCTTAGTTGAGTTTTATCAAGAACAAGGGAAGAGTGGCAAGGGGAGGCTCAAGGCTGCTGGAGCTCACTCAGAAAAGACACATTGCATGTAACAAATCAGCCTAGGGTTTTGTGAAGATTAGTATTTATAGGCACTTTAAGTTTAAACACACTGTATTAGAATTAATAGCTACGCTTAGTATTTTAATCCCAAAATTTGGATTCTGGACTTAGCCATTTTTCTAATATTTGTCATATTTTTATTTTATTTTTTGCAGTACTTTTGCGGTACGCGCTTTTACATAGCCAGTATCAGTTCTGGCACCAGTTCTCATTATTTTTTGACTTCAAACTTGAAATCCCAGTCTTAAATATTATTCTAGAAATATTCCTATACTTATTATAATTTTCCGGGATACTTCATCGGTACGCATTTATACCGTGGAGCAGAACCGGTATCTGCACTTTTCGTCCGAAAAACGACTTTCAACATTATTAATTTCTTACCATAAATATTTAATTCTTCTAATAATTATTCAAGGTCAATTATAGAATTATTTCATTAGTCTCATAATTATTTAATTAAATTCCTTAATTAACGGTGTGGGTTCTTTCAGCATCTTTAATCAGGAGACATCTGAGGTTTAACTCAGCTCTGGTGTTGTGCATGGAGTGGGCATGCTTCAGAGCATCAGCTGCATTTCTGATTTCATTCCTTACAGCTTGCAGTGTTGGTGCAGAAGGTGCAGCACTGATGCCTCTGATGCTGGTATTGACAGAGTGTAAGAACTGCACTCTTTCTCTCTTTTGTTGTTCTTGGAATTGAGTGAAGGCAATAGAGAGATGTTCTATTTCATTCCTCAGAGCTTTCAGCTCTTCAGTGATATTGGACATGTCAATCTGAGGAACGGATGGCTCTTCAGGTAGCAACTTCTCCATTTTTCTCCCCATAATTGCAAAAATTTCAGCAATCCCTATTTGGGATTTCCTCCTTGCTGTAAGGGGAATTGTTGTAGTGCGGGAGTGATGCTCTCCGGCAAGTATACCGATCGCACAAGTAATATAATGAATAAGTAGAGTATCGTCTCCACAGGGATTGTAAACCAAGTACTACAATAACCAGTCCCCTTAAGTTGGAAAACTCGGTTGTTTTTGGAAAATTGTGAATTGATGGTAAAATAAAGACAGAAATTTAAAATATAATTTTCAATTCAAATAGCAATGGTAAAGTTTGAATTTTTGAGAGAATAATAAAAAGCATTGCAGCTAAGGTACACGCACCATATAATCCCCACTTTAAACTTTGGATTGATTGACAACGTTCATTCAATTTAATAACTCAGACAAATTATCATCTAAAATAATTAGTTAAATCCCAATCCCTTGGCAATCTAACCCTTTAATTCAATTGGAATCCTAATCCCTTAGCAACCCCCATGAAATTAAGCATTAATCACGATAAATCAAACGACTGCAACTCACACAAGTCTATCCCTAGAGCATGCATAAATTGTTACCTTACCCCCTTTCAGAATCAAAAACCTCAATATTCCTATTGCGAGCCCTAATTCCCAAATTATTATCTCCTATTAGGTTGATCAAGTCTAACAGAAATAATATCAATACGCACAGAGTAAAAATAAAATATATTAAAATAAACAAGCGAAAATAATCAATCCATCGCAAAAGGGGCTCACATAGGGTTTATGACCCTAACTACAATAAAAAGAACTAGCCAACCATTATCATGGCTAAATATTCAATATTCATAAATTTCGTAAATTACAACAACAACAAGAAGAAGAAGATGATGATGATGAAATAGACCTCCAGAACCCTCTCTGAGCACCACCGTCGTCTCTCTTGAATAGAATAGGTTTTGATTCCTAATTCTGTAAAAAGCATCCTATTTATACGCCTTTTTTCCTTCTTCCAAAAATACCCTCGGACAGCACGGTGCATCTTTCCCGCAAACTGGCCCCAGTTGGCGCCGGTGTGGCGCCATGCTTCCGTGCTAAAGTGAAAAGTCGAAAAAAAATTCTCGAAAATCGGCGCCAGTTGGCGCCGTTGTGGCGCCACTAGGCACCGCTCCAAAGCACCGCTGTAGAGTCCGAAAACTGGCGCCACTGGGCGCCGTTCCTCTGTGCAACTTGCAATTCTCGCAAAACCGGCGCCAGTTGGCGCCGTTTCCAAAACACCGATGCAACTTCGTAAACTGGCGCGGGGTGGCGCCGTTTTGGCGCCAACTTGCGCCAAGTCTCTGTCCATTGTACTGTCCGGTGCTGGTCTGCGCCAATATGGAGCCGGTCTGCGCCAACTTGCTGGAATTTGTACTGAGGATCATTCGTGTGGAGTTGCATCAAGTAGCTTTTTACAATTTTGTAGTTTTCACTTCTTCTACCTATAGAAACACAACCAATAGGTGAGAAATATCATTGACATGGAAAGAATCAATATAGTAAGAAAATATGTATATAAATTGCTCTTTTATGACTCAATTCTTATCAATTTCAGCTTGAAAAACTACATTTTCCAGAGGCACATCTGGGAGATTGGCTTCTTCTTGTTGTTTTTGTTGTTGTTGTTTTGATGATCAGAAGCTGGAGGTTCTTCAGTAGGTTCCTGACTGATCATTACCTCCTTTGTTTTTGAGGTAGAAGGGACGGTTGTAATCGGTCCCTCCATTAGTGGAGGAACTTCAAGTCCCTCTTCTTCTGCCAGAGCCCTAGCCAGGGCCTCGTCCCAAGAAGTATCAGGACAGATATATGCAGAAGATAGTGGTCCTCGCAAGCTGATTTTCCTGGGAACAGTTTGTTTTTTTCTTTTTAGGGGGACTAATAGCAATCCCTTTTCCTTTATCAATATTTTTTGTGGCTGAGCCTCTTGCTCAGCCACTTGGTGTTCTGCAGCAGGAGCTGTTGTTGTTTCTTTTAGCCCTTCTCCTTCTCGTTCCCTAGGAGAGGGTTGTTGTGGTGGTGGTGAAGAATTAGGTGGTGGTGAAGAATTAGGTGGTGATGCTTGGAAGGACGGAACGTCGGAGGACTCAGATGTTTCAGAGTTACCTGGGGACGTCTTCTTGGTAGCTGGTTGAGGTCTTGATGCTCCACCCTTCTTCAGCCTCATTGAAATAGGCTCATTGTCTTTACTGTCCTCCTCTTTGTCAGAGAGGGTGATAGGCTTCTCAAAGGTAGTCCCCTTTGGTTTTATGGTGCTACTGAAGGATCTCTTCAGCTCTGACTTGATCGTTCCCCCTTCTTAGGTGGAGCTTTAGTAGGAGATTTTTGAGGGGGTTTCTTGCCTTGCTTGCTATCAGTAACAGCAGGGGCTTCTTTCTTCACTTTGGAAGGAGGGGGAACGAATTTTCTTGTTTTGGTGGTGGCGGCAGTGGTTGTCGATTTTTAAGGTACTGCCTTCATGGTTTTCTTCTTTTGGGCCTCAGGGTCCCCTACTTCGTCGTCATCCTCATCAACATCATGTCTGATGTTGTGATCTCTAAGGTATGAAAGGTCTGACTCAATGTAGGTGCTCCTCAGGCCGTTCCATGTTTTAAAATCAAGGACAGACCTTACCACCAGGTCTTCATCCTCAGAAGTGGTTACTTCAGCTCTTAGACAGAGCTTTGAAATTAGGCAGGGAAGGCAGATGGTGGTTTTCCTGATCTCCTTCTTCAGGATGCCATAAATGAGGGGTACTGCATTAATGGGGATGTTCTTCATGATGCAGTATAGTTGAACCTGCAATGCCCACTTGACAGTGGCATCATGGGTTGAGGGAGTGAGGTTGGTGTTGGAAAACAAAGCCCAGAATTTGGTTTCTTCCTTCAGACTGCCCTTGTAGAGGGCTCCCTTGGAATAGACAGGTTCACCAATGGTGATTAAGTTCTTTACATCCAGCAAGAACTTAGAGTTCTCTCTTTTCTCTATGTACTCTGTGTAAGGGCATTTGGTTACAACTGAAGGTGGAGTACCTCCTTGATGGCTTCAGGGGAGAATGAGACTTTCTTCTCTCTCATCGTTACTTCATCAGTTTTGTCACCTTGGGGTAGCCTCTTTGCATGGTACAAGAATTCAGCTACCAAGGAAGGATAGAACTCTCGTTCTTTTATGGAAAACCAGGTCCATTTAAGTTTGCTTAGGGCTTTTATCACGAAGGATGGCATGGGGACTTTGTCTTTTAAGAAAATGTTTCTCTCTGGGTAGAGAGTCACATTTTCTTCGGTGATTTCAGGTTCCTGTGTGTAGTCAGCCACATGGGTGATGGTTACTGAGAGTTTGGTCATGGTTGTGGGAGAGGTTATGGTAAAATGCAGAGAAGAGTGATGAAGAGAAAAAGTTTCTAAGTTAGCAAGGGAATGATAAAGCTTGAGAAAGAGAAGAGAAGAGTTTAAATAAGCATGCAGAGGAGGGAAAGTGAGGAGTTTTTCAGGACATGGAGGTTAATGAAAGGAAGTTGAAGAAGTAGCGGAGGGGGAACGTTACGAGATGAGTGGTCAGGGGTTAGTGGTATTCATCTGCTGATGATGGTTTGAGGAGGTGGAACAGTTTAGGGCAGAATCGTGGGAGAGAAGGAAAGAAGAGGGGAGCAGTTACATTAATGGCTGAGTGAACAGTTGCTTTTGTTGGGCACGTTTTCAAAGTATACAATGAGTGCAGATTTGATAACGGCTGCGTATATTTGAATGACTCAGCAGGGACAGGTGTCCCTAATATCCTTATCTCCTAAGTCAGGGAATGTTCCCTTTTTCTTGATTTCTTCTAACTTAGACCCCTAAGAAAATAATATACTAACAAAATAAAAATATGAATATCTAATATCTATCATAGACTAAGAAATATTGTAAGACAAAAATACAAAAATATTCAATTAAGGCAAAAGAAATAATATATATATATATAATTATTAATTTTTTTTAAAGAGGAATAAAAGAAATATGGGTGTATATGGTTATTGAACCACCCCAAAACTACGCTCCTGTCACGGAACTTATCTCAGTTATTTGGACTAGAGGTGAACATCAGACGTTCCCTCCCTTTTTGGGAGCTTTGTGGTTAAGTTTAACCACCCCAAAACTTTGTTCTTGTTAGAGAACAAAGGTGACCACTAGGTTTCCTCCCAGTCAGCGCTTAGTTTAATGTCTTTAGCTATACATGTTACTTACCTCTCTCTCTTCTAGGGAGGATGTTGAGGGAACTTCAGTGTCCCCTGGCAGTTTTCCTGGTGTTCTGGTGTTGAGGCTAGCAGCTATCTGTCCCAGGTGAGATTCAATGTTTCTGACCACAGCATCGTTCCTGGTAACATATTCCTTGACATAATTCTCTACGGTATTGATGCGTTGAACATCTCTGGGGAACGGAGCATAATTAGGTCTTCATTATTGGTTATATGCTCCATTTTCTATATTGCTGCCTTGTTGGTACTGTTGCTGCTGATTGTTGTATGGTCTTTGGTTCATGGGTGATCTCCATTGAGGGTTATGGTTCTGATCTTTCACTATGGTACCTCCAGAATTCTGATTGTTGTTGCGTCCTGTATGTTGATTGTCCCTGGCCTGGGTGAAGTTTTTGTTCCTAAAATTTTCAGCATAACATACAAAGGCTGTGGATGGGCAGTCTGTTGAATCATAATGATCTCAACATGCTGAGCATGGTTCACTCAGTGGCTGTAAGTTGTAAGACTTCCATTCTTGGTTGTTCTTGCTCATCAGATGAGGAAACGAATGGTATTTTACCATCAAAATGGGCTTAGATAGGAACAAATTTTTATCCAATCAATCACCTTCTTTTATGTCCAATCAATCACCTTCTTTTATTCTGATTTGATGATATTCACTCCTAAGATCAATTTTACTAAAAACACATGCACCATGCAACTCATCTAGCATATATCAATTATAGGAATGGGATGTCTATACTTTACAGTGATATTGTTGATGGTGTGACAGTCAACGCACATCCTCCAAGAACCATCTTTCTTAGGCACAAGCAATATTGGAACAACACATGGACTCATGCTCTCACGCACATGCCCCTTTTGCATAAGCTCATTAACTTGCCTTTGGAGCTTCTTTGTTTCTTCAAGGTTGGTTCTATATGCTGGCCTATTTGGAATTGTTGCCCCTGGTATGAAATCAATTTGGTGCTCTATACCCCTTATTGGTGGTAAACCATCGGGTATTTCTTCAGGGAACACATCCTCAAAATCCTACAAAATAGAAACAATTGCACTAGGCAAAGAAGAACCAACTTCATTAGTGTTGAAGCAAGCCTCCTTATACAAGAGTACAATCATAGGTTGTTTTAGGACCAATGCTTTGTTAATCTCAGCAACTTTCACAAAGAGGTTCTCCTTTTTTCTCTCTTTTCTTTACTCACTACCTGAAACTTGTTTTTCACTCTCTTTTTGTCTCCGATTTTCTATTTCTTTTTTCTAGTCACTCTCTTTTTTCAACCTTACTTGATCCTCATACACTTACATTGGACTTAAAGGAGCAACAGTAATGGTTTTGTTATTTATAATCAATGAGTATCTATTAGTGTACCCATCGTGCATCACACATCTATCAAACTGCCATGGACGCCCTAAGAGAATATGCCCAGCTTGCTTTGGCACAACATCACATAACACCTCATCCTTATAATTTTCAATTGAAAATGGAACTACTACTTGCTTGTTCACCTTGATTTCTCCACAATCATTCAACCATTGTAGTTTATATGGTATAAGATGCTTCATAGTTGCTAAATTTAACTTCTCCACCAAACTAGTACTAGCAACATTTGTACAACTTCCTCCATCAATAATCATGGAACACACCTTGTCCTTTACATTGCATCTAGTATGAAAAATATTTTCTCGCTGCAACTCCTTATCTTCTTTAACTTGCACATTAAGAGCTTTTCTAGCCACTAAAAGCTCTCCTTCAACTGGTAATTCAATATCACTTGCATCTTCTAAAGAAGGCATGGATTCATTATCAGATTCACCTTCACTTTCAATATCACCATTATTTTTCAAAATCGTGACTTTGTTATTTGGACATTGAAAAGCAATATGACCCCTTCCCAAACACTTAAACATTTTATGTCTCTATTTCTAGAGGATTGAGATTCAGTTTTACCTTGGCTGGAAGTGTTTACAACTTGGTTTGTTTTAGAGGAACTAACTGGAGATTTGAAATGAGGCTTCTCTTCATTTTTATTCCATGTTGGTCTTGAATGAGAAGTTGAATTATGCCCCATACGCATGGTACCCTTCCTTTTGAGTTGCCTCTCCACCTTTATGGCCATATGCACCATGTCATCTAACTCCACATAATGTTGTAATTCTACTACATTTGCAATGTCCCGATTTAAGCCAAGCAAAAATCTGGCCATAGTAGCTTCACGATCTTCATCTACATTGGCTCGAATCATGGCTGTCTCCATCTCCTTGAAATAGTCTTCAACACTTTTAGAACCTTGTGTGAGACTTTGTAATTTCTGAAATAAGTCGCTACGGTAGTGACTTGGAATAAATCGCCTTCTCATGACAGCTTTCATTTCCTCCCATATTTCAATGGGTCTTTCACCATGTCTCCTCCTGTTTGTCACAAATTGATCCCACCAAACAATAGCATAACCAGAAAATTCTATAGCAGTCAGTTTTACCTTTTTCAACTCAGAGTAGTTATGAGTTATGACAATCAAACACCAACTCCATCTTTCTTTCCCACTCCAAGTAAGCTTCTGGATCATTTCTGCCTTGGAAAGATGGAATCTTCATCTTGATACTTCCTAGGTTATTATCAACCCTTTCTTCATTACGCACTCTTCTTCCTTCATTTCGACGTTCATTCTGCCTCATATCAACTGTAGAATTGGTGTCATCTTCATTTTGATGTTCTGAAATTCTCGGTTGTGGCTCCCTTTGTTCAACTCTTTTTATTCTATCTTGCATTTCATCAAACCTGAAGTTCAATCTTTCAAATCTCTGTGTCATGGCTTCAAAGTAGAGTTTGAAATCTTTAGGAATTTGAGCATCACCCTTTTGAGACAATTTTTTTCTGCAAAAATAAAAGTTTGAATATCCTCACAAACACACCCTCACGTGTTTCTCTCCCAATTAATAGCTTTTACACTCGTATTTCAAAATTAGGCTTTTACCCTCTTATAAGCTCACACACTCCTGCTTTTTTCTCCTCTTTTGAATTCCCTCTTTTAGTTCTTAGCTGAACTCAATTGAAGTTTCCTTGAAGAAATCCAAATAGATCACAAGATATAATACAAAAAGACAAGAAGAACAAGAGAATAATTTTTTATGTCAAGAATTAGGGGTAAATGAAGGTTGGAATGACAATAAATTTAAGCAATAACTGAGATTAAGTAAGAAGGGAAGTACACATTGGAATAGAGAAGATCAAAACTGAAAAGAATTCAAAGAGACAAGTTTTACTTCAAGGAATTTGGATCAGATTTTTTTTTCATTTTTTTATTTTATTTTTGCTTCTGCAGATACTAAGATTTTTTTTAACAGTACCAGTAGGAGTAGTTGACACAAGAAGGAGAATAAAAAAAAATGTAACAATAAATAAGGATAGATCAAACCTGATTTTGGAAAACTAGCTTTGATACCAAATGATATGAACCTCACCAAGAATAGTGAGACTCTAGACCAATTTAGTTAGGATCGTTTCTACAATCAGAAATTTAAAACAAGAAATAAAGAACCTTGACCCGTTATCTATGGAAGATAAGAACCAAAGGTATAAGAAGGATAAAGACGCCACACTCAAGAAAGAAGAAGGTGAGTTATAAGTCTAGTTTGAATACCACAAGAACAAACTTCTTGATAAGTTCAGAGTTCTAAATAAGAACCAAAGAGAGGAAATCTCTCTATTATATTATAACTTCAAAATCTGATTACAAGAGTTATATCCTCTCTTATTTATACTTGGAACATTCCTCCAAGAATAGGAAAAGACTTAGCAAATGAAAAAACACTAATTTAAAGTTGACAACTTGGAAAAGGAAAAGACTCTAATCAGCCCACTAAACATTAATGAAGTTGGAAATGTGAATCAACCCCACTAAGCATTACTAACATTGAAAATGCTTTCAGCCCCACTAAGCATTAATTGACATTGAAAATTGTTACTCATTCAACTCAACCTCCCTTGCATTGATGACATTGACGAAATTCTGATTATGAATAAATTTGGGCTTGATGTCTTCATGATTAGCCCACATTTGCTGGATCAACCCACTAAGAGCTTCTTTAAACTTCTTGGCCCTTGATCTTGTGATTGGCCCATTTAGCAATTGTAATGGATCACTAGGTGTTGTCTCCTTATTCATATCAGTGTGAATTCTGGCTATCTGAGGTGCAGTTTCTGGGTCATTATTTCTGCTAGTGGTGTTGCGGTGGACCCGAGTAAAATTGAAGCGGTAAGTGATTGGGAATGACCTAAGATTGTGACTGAGATCAGAAGCTTTCTGGGTTTAGCTGGTTATTACCGTAGGTTTATATAGGGGTTTTCTACAATGGTAGCTTCTTAATACGAATTATTTTTTAATATATTATTTGTTGTGTTATCAAACACAATTCTCATTCTCAGAATAAAAATTGAATATGTTATCAAACACATTTTCTTCTCAGAAACTGTTCCAAGGCACAGAAATAGAAAAGAATTGTTTCGTTTGAGAAACAGTGCCAGGGAACAGAATGATTGTCATGCACACCCATACTGACTTCGTCGCAGAGTTGCTTCGGGTCGTGATATGTAGTGACTTAGTGTCGACCTCTCCGACCTGCACATCCACCAATATCGGATTTTCGAGCTCTTGGAGACACTCAATGGAAGACTCGTGTGGTGGTTGGGGTTGAGCATTGATGGATGTCGCACGAGTGTTCGTCATCGTGGAATGGGAATCGAATTTTATCATTCCCCACAGACGGCGCCAATGTTAGGTCCTAGAGAACTGTAATTCTATACATTATGGTATGCGCTAAGAGATATCCAAAAGATAGATATCCAGATTGACTTATAGCCAATACTCCACAAGCAATAGGCTTATAGCCAAGACGTGGGTATGTGCACAGTATTGGCAGCAATAGTAAAATGAGTCAAAAAATGTGTACCTGGGGGTCTTAAGCCTTAAATTTATAGGGGCTACCTCTTGGGCTGTGTAGATCTCCCAGTTGGAGTAAGATTCAACTCTTTTTTTGTAGGGACATAGATTCTATCTTCGTTATCTTTAGTTTCATGTTGTTAGGATAATTGGGTCATTATCCTTTAAGGAATTTTTGGATAAGTAGTTAGAATATGGTTATATTCCATAACAAACGGGATGCAGATGTCTCACCTACCTCTCCATTCAGAAATTTTAGACTTACCTGAAAATGTGGCCAACCCATAGGAAACTATTCGAATTAGTAGGATTGGCAACTATTATATTTATTTATATTTTTGGTAAAATGATTGCTAGCTACCTTAATCGAGCAATCATAAATATATGAGAGCAATATTTATATATCACATTTAAATTTGCACAAAAATGACATAAAATTAAAATGTATTAGATGTAATAAAAATTTGACATCTAAATAACATCTCGGATTAACTTAATACTCCACCTCGAAAAGCTTAAATACGGAAAGCATTGAAAGCAAGCTCGCAACGCACTAAATCAAAGGGCATTACTTCTCTAGTTATGTTTCTTACGCAAAGGGAGTATGCAGCTAAAAAGGTTCACCGAGAAGAAAAGCATTCCAATTTTTTTATTTTTTTTGGCATCGCATCACATTATTTTGTTCAGAATTTTTAGCAAGATCGCTCATGAAACAGAACGACTATCCCCAGCCACAGATTCGTTTTAGTCCTCGAACTCATGGTTAAAGAACAGTCAACAGAGGAGCCACCTACAAGCCTTTATAGTATACGCCCAAAAAAAACTAATAGCTTGATCAATCTGAGCAAACACCACTGGTTGGCTACCCCTACCCTCAAAGTGCTTCCAATATTGAGGCCAACAAGCCAAACTTGACTTGGGCATGAAGATGCTTATAATCAGCATAAAGACTTCGAGAGAGTTTCACTATCATGATTCAGAATATGTATACCCCTCACCTAGGTATAGAATCAGTGTGGGGCAATCCCTTCAAAAAGTTTGGGATAATTGCACCGAGGAATCATGTTAAGACCATGGCATATTTATATTGCCAGATGCTAGTTCATCTGAAACAAGAAAATGATGAAACTTACTCGTCTGTACTACGAGAGGGGGAATCAACATCGTGGCCAACAATGCAGCCATACTAAGGAGCATAGGCCCGAACATCCGTCTTTGGACTTCACTAAATAGCAACTTAGTTATATAAGTCCTTTTCCATCTGAAATCTTAATTCTATCGAAGAACAAAAATTCCAGGACAAATGTGGAGAAGTGGAACTCGTCTCGAGGCACAAAATTTAACTGAGCTTGCTCAGCTACAATTTTCAAATTCCAACAAAACTTTCTTCCCTCTCTCTCTCTCTCTATTATTTTTTTCTTTTCTCTTTTTTCTTTTTTCTGGTGTAGGGGAAATGAAAGACAAGAGTCAAGACAGAAAAACTAGTGTGAAAGACAAGCAGCATCTTGAAAAAGCGTACACCTAGCCACCAAGGCATGTTTAACATCATCATCAAAACAAAAAGCTCTGAATAGTACCATATGGAATCTCCAAAATGCAAAGCTGGGGGAAGGTCCTAGATCCTTGCTTTTGCTAGAAGGTCAGCACATATATTCTCTTCACGCAGCACATGTGAGAATTACACCTCCCGATCACGTTTGAGCATATCATCTTGATATCACAAAAAATATTGCCATAAATACGAACTGAAGCAAAGCAATTCTGGAAGAGATTTAGCACTTCCATAGAGTCCGAGTCCATGTTTGCAGTAACCAAAGTCCCAGGCAATAAGGAGACCAATTCTTAATTCGACAAAGTTCAGCTTGCATATTAGTACTACACTGCAAGGAATCATAGAAACCACCCAGCCAGTTAATAGAATTATTATAACAACGATAATTTGAACAGATCTGAGGGTTAACGTGGTCCATTGAACATCAGTACCCTTACAGTATTTGGAGGGTATTAGATTGGTGAATGGATTAGACACTGCATACTCACACGCTTAGAGAATGAATCATTAAATTTTATATATATATCTTTTCACGAGAAATAGTACATCATAATACACAGGAAAAAATGGCACAGGAACGTCCAAATGTGGTATGCATGAGGTGAATGCATCTCACTGGCTCAACTAATCCTACTCTCTAAGGCAACTCTATCTTACAGAAAAGAACTGGCGGGTGGTACGAACATGGAACCTGTCAACATCCAACAACTTATCAAGCATCAAAACCCATCAAAACCAATCAAATAACATATCACAGATCCCAGGTAAAAGCAGCAAAAGAGTGATCTGAAGCTAATTTCGGAGATGGACTAGATATCTTCCCGCCAATCAGCATCTTAATTTGTGATATCCTACTCAATAAGAGAATTCATGGCCTCGAAGTGAAATATATTTCTTGACCCAGATGGCAATATCCTCAGCACAAACCTGGGCCTGAGGGCTTTTGAGAAGTACATCAAGGGTAGCAAATTCATGTACTGCATCCTTATACTCAAGAACAGGTGCATCAACATTCACCTTCCGGAGCTCCTCTGAGTAAGCAATGGCACGATCTCTCATCCAATCATGTTCTGCCACCACTGTCAATGTTGGAGGCATCAGCTTCAAAGGGGGAACTCGACCTAGAACTAGGGGATTAGCAGCAAGATGGTCTAGACTAAAGTCTTCCTCAGGTAGGAAAAGCTTCCATGCAAGCATACACATGGCCTTGTCATAAAAGTAAGAGTTTGCCAACTTTATTTCAGAATGTGTGGGAACACTTCCAACAAAAAATGGATACATCAGGACCTGTGCTACCACTTTGACAGGGTCCAGAAGTTTGCCTCCTTCCACAGCTTTTTGAGCCACATAGTGTGCAATATTTGCACCACAACTTGCACCAAGAAGAACGCATCTGTTTCAATATTAAAGAAACAACAACAAAAAAAATGTTAAGCACTGGAAAAGGGGCATAACTCCATGAGGACTATCTTACGACTGGAACCAAAGGAAGCATGACAGGGAGAAATTAATGTGACAAACAATACAACAGCATATCTAGAAAAAGTTTACTCTGCAACATTAATGTCATAATAGTTTTTAATGTACACAAACAAGGGCCCTTCAAGGAGAGATTCTTAGGTACTCCAAGAGTATTTCACTACTCCACAAAGAATGTACAACGTGGCACCACATAAACCATACACGTCATTGCATTAAAAATAAAATATTATTAAATTAGATGTGAATGGTTATAAGACTACCCAAAGTATTGCTCATAGAGTATACTACAGTTTTCTCCTTTTGGAGAGACATTTTATCTCAATATATAATCCGCCATGCCCAAAGGAGGTAACAGCAAAAATATTGGTCAAACAAGCATCTTAATTCACCCAATCACTTCTAATAATAGCCAAATATGAGCTCTGATAGAGTGCTTTATTATTTGAAAATTACTATTTTTGAGAAAATAACATTATGATAGTTGAATATAAATATTGTCAAAGATTCGCTAACCAAGCTTAGTGGTATAAATATTGTGGTTGTTAAAGGAAGGTATCCAAGAAATCAGCATAATATAGAAGAGAAAGTTGAGATAGGGTGACAGAGATAACACAGAAAAAAGATTAGACAAGATATTCACAGTCAACAAGGTCAAAAAGAGCACAGGTACAAGAAAAAGTAAACCAGAAAGATAAGACTTCAAAATGGTTATAGAGCCAACTCATGGGCCCCTATCGCCTATCACATATAGTACTTTCTAATTGTTATTTATGTTCCCTAATTGCAAATTTCGTCCCTTACTAATATATTGGATTAAACTAGTGGAATCTAGGGATCACATTAAATTAATTTAATCCCTAAAAAGGGAACTAATGTCAAAACACACAATAGTTCCAATGAGATGCACTAAAGTACATAGAGGTCAAAAAAGTCTCCTGCAAACACAGTAAAAGGAGGAGGGGGGAAAAAAGTAAACAGAAGGGAATGAAAAAAATAAGGGTGCCTTGGAGGCATAGTGCATGAGGCTCCTACCATTGTAGGAAAACTGAATTTTGATGCTGACAATAATAAGTATAGTAAACAAACCATCACATGAAAAGCAAGAACGAAAGAAATCCTACGAGAAAAACATTCACAGAAAATGTAGATTAAGCACTGCAAGTCCAGTAGTCCATTTCTTTTATCAACCAAAAGCCTCTGATTTCCATATATGGTGGTACAGAATGACCTGTGCCAGCCATCAAGTAACCTCTCTACCAGAATATCTGGCATGCTATCATCACTTGTCTACGTCTCTTCAATGTGTTTTGTATTTTTCAGCAGACGTATATTTTGTTAAATAAAGCTAAAAGAACAGAGCTAAACATTCCAAAGTGGAAAGGGAAGCATAATGCTAATATGAACAATATTAAAGAAACCAATTCTCTCTAGTCTCATGACAATTGAGGATCCCAACCCCAAATATAAACCAGATCTATATGTTTGGAACCATAAAATGCACCAAGATGTGATTTTAGCACAGCTAGAGTTAGACACAGACCACACTCGGAGGGAAACTAGCAAATCTGTCAGGTGGAGTGCTAGTTGTTTATCAGACAGCATAGATAATTTAGTCAATCCATTACAATCGAGTAATCAATATAAAATTTTCATTTCAACTTAAACTAGCATCCATCAAAATCATAAGATGATTCACATTGTAACCCACTTCCATTCGCAAACTCTCCTACCCTACTCAGGTATCCCTTGACCTACATTACTCCACACTCCCTAATAAATCACTGTCTATATTTAGAAGAGGCAATGAATGAATCAACAAGAATAAACAATCGCAAAATGTAGTTCAGTAACAAGAAAGATAGTGAAAGATCACATTTCAATCTAAATTTTGAAATGCTGCTAAATCAGATTAACCTAGAACAGCAGGATCAGGATAATCAATATATGAACTCAATAGAAACACCACAGTGACAACAACCTTGATGGATCTCCATGAGCAGCCAACCATGGCTCAACCACTGAAGCTCCAAATGAATCAACAATATGCCTATGAGCATCTGATTTCTTGAACTCACCGCCTCTAACCCTTCCATTCCCCATGGACTTGCTACACTCAGCCAAATTCGCTTGCTTCGCCAACCAATTCAACACCTTAAGCCCGTCCTCAAACGCAGCCGGATACCGACTCTCGGGCGCCAGCCGGTACCCGACTGCTACCACGATCACGTCGCAGAGCTTCGCGATCCGCCGGCAGAAGAGATCGTTCGCGACGGAATCGTTGCTGCCGCTGACCCAACCGCCACCGTGAAACTGCAACATCACCGGAAGTTTCCGGCGATTGTCCTTCGCCGGCGAGTAGCCCCGGTACACTCCGCCAGCAGCCATCAAATTCAAACCCTCGTCGGCGACGTCGTTGCTGGCGACTCCGAAGCTGTTCCTTCGGGGCTCTTCCATGTGGGCGGTGGCCCCTCCAGAGGAGCCATAGCTATTCCGCCGCGAATTCGAATCGACGATGCGCGCAGATCCAGGTTCGGGATCGAGTTTTTGGAGGATAGGAATGGACTTAGGCTTGGGAATTGGGTGAGGTTTGGAACGAGGTTCGGTTGGGGTGAGTGCGGATTCGGGGAGGAAGATTCGGATAGAGAGGGAGGTGAAGGGGTCGATATGGATGTCCTTGGTGGCGACGCCGTCGGCGAATGAGGGGTTAGCGGCGGCGACGGATTCCTCGGGTCGAGAGGTTACGCCAAACGGGTCGGAGTTTTCAGACGGGGCTTGAATCCGATTTTGCAAACGGTGCTTCAAGAGGAACTTGAAGAACACGCTATAGAGCTTCACAGCCACACTTGGCATTTCTCTCTCTATCCAGAACTTGCTCCACTGTTACACTCTCTTTCTCTCTCTATATCTGGAAAATATGTTGTTTGGTTGAAACAGGAAATGAGAACGAGTTTGTTTTAATTTTTGTGGTATTGGGATTAGGATAAACTCATGCGTATGTTAGCTTTAAGATTATGACTGAGGTGCTCATTGGATCAAATGGGAATAGGGTTTATGTAAAAACGAAATTGCTTGAATCTGTGATGGTGCTTCAATTCAATGGCGGGGTGAGGTGTGTGAGAGAGAGAGAGAGAGAAAGAGACAAAGGCATTTGGTGCGTGATGGGCATACATGCAACTTTACGCCGGTGGCTCCCTGGCTTGTTTGGTTTTTTTATGAAATTTTCCAAAGAAGAATTTCGTGACTTTTCTTTATGGGAAAAACGTTTTTACTTTTAAAACATATAATTTTGTGTTATTTTAAATCTTAACCGTTAATTTTTGTCAATCAACAGTTAAAATTTATTAGGTCAAATTTATTAATTAATTATTAATTCACAACAAAATTCAATAAATTCTAACTATTAATTGATAAAAATCAACAATTAAGATCTAAAATGACACAGATTTATATCTTTTAAAATAATAAATATTTTTTCATTTCTTTATTGTTTTGGTATTTATCTTCTTACACTTTTTTTTCATGAACATAAGGTAAAATGTTAAGTTTATTAATTGCTATTGAAACTATTTTTTTAATACTTTTAACTGGGACTAAATATCGATTCGAGATTAGTTTCCTAGCTAATTCAAAGTGTTAAAATTTATAAGGATATTTAAAAATTAATTTGACTTAAAGTGATAATTATGATCTATATATTAAAAAAAATTCATCGCATCATTTTCTTATACATATAATAATTAAGTAATTGTGTTTTAGCATATTGATACAAGTGACGTACCTACATGAATACATATTATAAAAATTGTAATAAATATTGATATACATTTTTTATATTTTATTTTTAAATATTCCCACCGTACAAGTAAATTACAAACTCAAAATTGTTTAGTAAAACTATATTAGATTTCATATAATAATATCAATAAAAGTGTCATAAAATTGTCATCAATAAAAGTGAGATAATAAAGTTTGCACCACCAACTCATGTTAGGCCAAAATTTTGGATTTTATATATTTGAGCTTTAATGGTAATGTGAGGGGGATTTCTCATAATGTTGGGTTGAAGTTATAAATGAACAAAATTAAATACTTAGGTAAAATATAAATCACTCAACTGCAAACAACATACTTTGATTAGAATTAAATTTGTAAAACCAACTTCATTCAATTAAATTTTTGCAAATTACAATCTAAACACATAATAATTTTTCATACATGTATAATATACACATTTAAATACAAGATTTTTATTTATAATTGTAATTATTTATTTATTTATATTTTTCTTTATAAATATTTTTTTTATCACTCCCTCACTCGATTGGAAATTTGTCCCCACCATTAAGGGTGTAAATGCGTCAGGCTACGTGTAAAAACTTGCATCATTAATTTGGAATTTTAATAAATTGTGATTTTTATAAATTATTCCATAATTCAAATAGGATAATTATAGAGAATTTATAATTATCTAAAATTAAATCACTTTTCAGGAAAAAGTATAAATGCGGCATATTTCCCGGTAAAGATGTATACCAGCTAAATTATTCGAAAACTTAGAAATTAAATAATAATTAAATGAGGATTATTAGATAGAGATTTAATTGTTTCAAATTAAATCTCTGCTTCACGAAAATTATGAACAGAGTGTTATTTGAGAAAAAAAAAACTGCGAGTAGGAAAATTACCCGAAACTTAAATATAATTAGTGATTATTATTTCATAAATTTTATGGAGGTAAAATGACTACAAGATATTTATGGTTATATTATTAGAAAATTCTAAGTATTTAAAATTAAATCACTTTTAGAGTAAAAGTGAGAATACTGTGTGTTTTGCGGTAGGCAAAATTAACCGGAACACAAGGATAAACTAATGACTATTATTATTCTATTAATGTTATTAAACTTAAATGATAATAAAGATGTCTAAGTTAGATGGATAGAGAATTAAGGAGTGATTAAGAGAGCAATTACCCAATTAGGGTTAGAGGACCCACTTAAATGACTTAGACTTAGGGTCCGTTTGGATGGATTTTTTTCTCCAAAAGTTGCTTTTTTTTTGTAAAAAAAAGCACTTTTCATTTTTAGCTCGTTTGGATATCTGCTTTTAAAAAAAAGCAGAAGTCACAAAAAAAGTCAAAAACCTACTTTTTCTGAAGCTAAAAATTTTAACTTCTAAAAAAAGCAGAAGTCAAAAGCCAAATATTTTTTTCAAAATTTAAATATTTTTATAAAAATATAAATAGCTTTAACTTTTGTAAAAAAGACTTCTAAAATAAGGAAGAGGTAAAAGTTACTTTTTTATAAAAGTGCAAACAAACGGGCACTTAGTCTTTCTTTTCCCATTATCACTCATTCATATTTCTAAACCCTTGAAGAAATTTTCACTACTCTCATGGCTCTCTTCTTCTCCATGAAAGCTCATAACTTTCTCCATGATACTATGCCAAAACTTCACTTTTCCTCCATCTCATCTCCATAAACACTTGAAAGCTAGTGTCTTGGGAGAAAAAAAACTCACTCTTGGGGTGTTCTTGTTGCTTCCTTGGGTGACTTAGGGTGTATTCCCTTCATTTTAAGAGGTTGGAGCATCACTACATGTTGTTTTGAAGCTCTTTGTGAAGAAGAACCACCATTTGTCAAGCAATTTTCGTGCTCTTTGTTTGGCATAGGATTAAAGTGGACTAAAGACCTCAAAGAACCCTTCTTTCCTTTGTTTTGAGCTTTGGGTATATGTCTTTACCTTGTATCTTTGAGTTTCTATGAAAAGAATAGATTTTGATATGTAAAAATCATGTTTTGGGTGTGTAAAGTAGAGATTTTTTTGTAACCTAAGCTTTAGAGGTTGGTAATATGTTGGTAACATGTTGGAAGATGGGTTAGATAACAAAAAGGGTGAGTTGGAAGCTTTGGGACGCCATTGAAACCTAAAAAACACAAATTTTCTACATTCTGTCGCGATGTAATAGATTCCATGCAATTGCGAATCGACTCCCTAGTGTAGGAATCGATTACCAGTGAGGAGAAATCGATTTCTTCTTGGAAAATAACAATAATGAACTAGTTTAGTAAAATCGTGATATCTCAAGCTACAGAGCTCTATATTGAGTGAAGTTTGAACCTACGTGAAGCAAACACATAGGGCTATAATTCTGTAAAATTTTGTAACCATTGGATAAGTAGATTGATCGCAGTTTGAGTTTGAAGTCGCGACTTGGTTGCTAAAAATTCAGTTTGCACTAGTCACTTTGCGAAAAACATAACCGGAGTTATACAACTCCAATTGAGACATATAATATGTCGTTAGAAACCTTTAGATGTCTAGTTTAACATAGTAAAATTTTAGAATTTTTGGTAAAGATTTGAAATACTAGTTTTACAAATGGTAAACATTATTTAGTGCTGAATTCGCCAAATAGAGTCATTTCCTTCGAGTTTGATCCTTAAGGAAATGATTTGTTGACTTTATGGTGCTTGAAAGTGATTTTTTAAGGTTACGAGACCGTAGGGAGTTGACTTAGTTCCTTCTACCTTGAGTTGGTGTCCCTACGTAAAGAATGACTACGTAAAAGATAATATTGAAATGAATGTCGTAAGCTAGTATATTTGCTAATTGCTTTATATCTCTATGAAGCTTGGGAGAGATACAAGGACATCATCAGAAAATGTCCAAACCATAGGGTAGAGAGTTGGGGAGTGTTACAATCTTTTTATAAAGGACTTGACCATACTTCTCAATCACATTTAGATTTTGCTGCAGGAGGATATTTTTTTACTGGAACGCTTGAATCCAGTATGAAATCATAGAAGGCACTGCAGAAAGATGTCTCTAGTGGCCAATAGACAGGGTGAGCCCAGTAAGGAAGCCTGGCATGCTAGAATTAGACAAACAAACTGCCATGGAAGCCCAGCTAGCCTCACTCATGAATAAGGTGAAGAACCTGAAGACTGATCAAGAAACACCAAGGATGGAAGTCTTGCAACTCACAACAGCTGAAACTGAACCATGCTCAACCTGTGGTGACCTTCATGATTCAACAGACTGTCCATCTACTTGATTGGTGTGTTATGCAGAAAACTTTGGCAACAGGAACTTCACCAGAGACAATCAACAAGCAGGATGCAACACCAATTCAAATCCTGGAGGAACTATAACAAAAGATCAGAACCATAATTCCCAATGGAGGCCACCCATGAACCAAAGACCATTCAACACTCAGCAACAACTATATCAACAAGGCAGCAGCAGCGGAATGTTTGAACAGCAAAGAAGAACCAATTACGTTCCGTTCCACAGAGATGACCAACGCATCAACACTTTAGAAAACTATGTCAAAGAATATGTCACCAGGAATGATGCAGTGGTTAGGAACATTGAGTCCCACCTGGGACAGATAACTGCCAACCTCAATATAAGAACACCAGAAAAACTACCAGGGGACGCTGAAGTTCCCTCAACAACTTCTCTAGAGACCTGAAAGGTAAGTACCAAGTCTAGCTAAAGACATTAAACTAAGAGCTGACTGGGAGGCAACCCAGTGGATACATTTGCTCTTTGACAAAGAGCAAAGTTTTGGGGTGGTTAACCTTAACCACATAGCTCCCAAATGGAGGGAACGTCTGATGTTCAACTCCAAAGTCCAAATAACATATATTCCGTTCCAGGAACGTAGTTTTGGGGTGGTTCACTAACCATATTGTCCCAATAAAAAAATTAAAAAATACCTACTTTTAAAAGTCTTTATATATATTTTGAAACTAATTTCAAACTAATTCAAAACTCCCTCTGATTTCACTAAACGTCCATAACTTTTTAACCTATTTTGAAACTCTAATTTTAACATTAACCATTGTCCTTGATCAGATGAATCTGGAGTTTTCCGGTCGTTCAGAGAAATTGCAGTTTTAAGCTGTTACGCGTGTCGTAGGCACGCTTCCCCAAACTCACTAATTTCTGTCAATTTTTATCAGAAATCATATTTCCTAGTCATATATACCACTTATAACTTATATCCAAACCTAGAGCTCAAAACTCAATTAGCACTCTTTGCAATGCAACTGTACCGCGATATTTTTTTATCTGGTAAAAACATTATTCACCGAATTTTC